GTTTAGCACCTGAGTTTTTGATGGTGAGTTCAGAGCTAAACTGTTGTGGGGAATTTGAGAATTTAAGCTTATCAGCATGCACATCCTCTGACTTATAGTTAAGAGGTTCATTCCTTAGGAGGCATCAAGGCAACAAAAAAGAAAAGAAAAAGCCTTCGTCTTAGAATTTATTTAGTATTTGTCCATAGTGCCTACAAATTTGTGAATGGTACACTGAAGGAAGAGGGAAAACATTGCAGAACAATTACTCAAGGTGATCAACGGTTTCTTCTTCTTTTTTGGAAGGTGGTGGAGAAACATGCAGACCCAGAGACAACGCTGTTGGCCTACCTAAGAAGAAAGTGTATCCTGAGTTTGGAGTAGGAGGTGGGAATGAGGGAGAGGGTCAGCAGAGACCCATTCTTGGGTTTTCCATCCTTTCACAATGACCAGGAAGGAGGTGGTGGTGCAGAGGAGAGAGCACTGGACGGAGAGGAGTCTGGGCCTCATGTTCTAGTTGCCATCTGGCCCCCAGTAGCTGTGCTCCCTCAGGCAGACCTCTGAGTTCTTTGATTCTGAAATTCTCAGCTGTCCAACAAGAGGGTGGATCAGGATGCTGACCAAGGTTTCTTCCAGGTAAGACTAGTACATCCCGGGTTTCTGAAATGAGCAATTCAGGAAGGCCCTCCAGGGAGAAGAAGAAGGGTGGTGCTTCCTTAGGTGAACTCTGCTTAAAAACAAAAATAGAAAAAAAAAAACCAAAACAAAAATAGAAATAATGTTTCCAGGTCTGCCTTCGTGGAGAGAGAAAGGCAGGGCGGTTGTCTTTGTGGGGAAAGGGATGTCTCCGGTGGAGAGTTGTGAAGGCTGCTTAAAGAGGAAGTGACATGGGGTAGAATCTGCCCTCTGACTTTACAAGAAACAGGATACTCCCCATCTTCACGATGAGCTGCCTCTGGCTGAGTCCTATGAGGCTAACGTCAGGCAGGCATCCACTCCCGAGCCTTCTGATACCAACCATATCTCCCACAGCACTGTCTACTTTTCAGCTGGGCTTATAGCTCAGAACTCTGAGACCATGCTCATGATTATGAAGTTGATTAATGGAGTTAACAGGCTACAATTCAGGCAAGAAATTCTCAGCCTCTCGGCCTGGCCTCTACTATGCTTGGGCAATGTTACAAAACTCTTTTCAGGCTGCTAATGAATGCCCAAAGGGCATGCCACTCAACTCAAAGCCACCTGGCTCCAGCTCCATGGGTCAGCAGAACCAGCTCTCCCAATGAAGTGCCAGAGACACCCCATTGCCCCAAAGGACTTCACGCACTTGCTCTGTGGGCGGGGAAGTCCACCACTCTGTCTCATGTTCTGCCCCAAGACCCAGAGCCTTGTTCTGCTGTTGCTGCTCCTCTGGGGTCAAGGCTGTCTCCTGGATCAAGGAGATTCAATGAGCAGGAATCTCAGGGGCCAAAGGATGTGCTGCATTCCTGGATATTCTCTCTTGCTTGTAGTAGTGACATCTCATCTTGTTTCTGAGACGGCTTATTTTATACCCAGCAGGGTGGCCATCACAATCACCCCTGTCAGCAGCCACTCACAGCTGCATCAAAATCCAACCACAATGTGCCCCCAGCCCAATCAGGAAAATGAAGGTGTCACAGAGGCTATGGATATAAGTGATATCCATAATTCACTACATTGCAAGGTGTGATCTATTGAGGATGTGACAGGTACGGGGAGGTGTTGGAGGCAGGTGACTCTCTAGAGGGTTACAATATTCATCACTTGAGTGGTGAGAGCTTCTGTAAGATCCTCTATACCTGTTGGGATTTCAGAGTATGGAAATAGTCTGAGATCCTATAAGAACACCATTTGAATGCCTTCACTGTTCTATTGATGTGGTGCCAATAGAAATACCACCTCCAATATGGTACAGACCAAGATGGTGCATATGTCAAGAAATAGTAGCTTCATATTTCAGCTTGATATTTCAGCTTAAGAAAAGTGTCTGGTTTTATAACAACACCTTTTTTTAACTGACATTCATCTAGCCAGATTAGGGAAAATAATATCTTAGGACATTGAAATTGCTCCCCAGATGTGATTTGCAAGAGGCAGTGTGAGCAGGGTGTACACCAAATCTGGGGTCAGATGACAGTGTTGGGGCCCTAATACTCAAGACAACACCAATTCCTGGGTTGTCTTGTATGGTACCGTATGGTGCCAGTACCATACAAGGTGCTACTGCTAAGATGTTTGTTTGTTTGTTTTTAATATGACAAGAAATAGTTCCAGCCCCATCTGCTCACCAAATTATGGTGATGATCAAACAGGCACAGGGATGTAAGTGCTTTTCCAGTATACGATGCTAGCTATCTCATTGTCACTTTTTGGTACCTTGGACATTATAAGTGACCAGGCAATTATAATCTCAGCTCCCTCTGCCATCAGTGAGAGCCAGGTGGCTTGGAGACCTGAACCCCTCAGCAAATGCCAGTAATCTAGTGTCTGTGTCTCAGAAAAATACCCGCCGTCACCATCATCGCTTTTCTCTAGAATGACCTGGGAGGCACTTTCCAAAATGTGAAGGATCAGATTACCTATTTCCTCAAGTAAACCTAAGTGGTGGCTGCAATCCTGAACTAGGATTTCAAAAGCCTCTTTCATATTCATCTTCCTAGGCTATGGGCCAGGTGTTCAAACGATCCTGGTTCCAATCCTAATTTTGGCTGCTGGGACTTCATCCACCCAAATGGTTCCGAGTGAAAAGCTGGGTCTCAGAATGTCCCAGGACAGGTCAGTCTCCCATTGTGACCCAAGTGCTCTCATGGTCTAGAGAGAAGGGCTGCCTGAGTCACGTGAATGACCTGCTCAGTGAGACCGAGGGCTGAGGACATACAAGACCATGTCTTGAAGACTCTGATCCCAAGGGAAGTTTCCAGTACGGGAAAGCCTTAGAACTTGAGTCCCAGGGGAGGATACTCGGGTGCCTTTCCTTTTCTGTCCAGTGGAGTTGGCCCACTCTCTTCTCCCAGAGCCACGGGCAGCCTCTCTGAGTAAGACGGTGTGAGTTGGTGAAGGGCCTGAGCCTGTGTGGGCAATAGATGACCATGTCAAGGCAGCTCTGCCAAGTCCTTGTCTGCCAGGACACCTTTCCCTGCATCCATGTTCCTTAACCCTGGACCACCCAGTGGGACTGAGTGGCACCAAGCTTGGCTGTGGAGAAGGGGGCTGCGGGGCCTGCACTGTCATGCTTTCCAAGTATGATCGTCTCCAGAACAAGATTGTGTATCCTTTGCCTGCTGGCTGATGTCCCGGATGACAGCTGAATGCAGGGGTCAGCACGTGAGTCCGGATGTGAGTGTGTGTGTGTGTGTGTGTGTGTGTGAGTGTGTGTGCTCAAGTGCAAATGAATCTCTGCCGGGTTTAGTAGGTTCTTTTTTGTTATTGTTAACTGGGATTAATTCATATATTAAATCATTCCATAGTTCAATCACGTCCAGCAGAATTGGACATTTGCTACCACCATCAGTTTCCAAACATTTTTTTTCCTCTAGGGACCCCTTGTCATCATCACCCCTTCACTCTACCACCCACTTTGTGTCCCCCTCTCCTCAAACCCTTATCCACTTGTTGACTCTATAGGTTCATCAGTCCTGGTTTTCAGACCACCCCCAAATGAAAAAAAACAAAACACCTACCGCAACTTCAAGAGAGTGACCCCCAGTGACATAACACTCCTGAGATACTCCCTGGTAGGTTCTGATTGTAGAATGATGACTTAGGAAGTATCTTCTGAGCTTGTAAGTATCGGCAAGGCTGTAAGTATCGGCAAGGCTGTGAACTACTGATAAGGTGATCTTTCTCACATTCAGGTTCATATCATTCCCTGCAAAACCCTTTAATAGTTCTCCATCCCCCCGGCCGCGCCACCCCCCCACACACCGGGTAAGGGCCAAGCTCCTTGCTCAGTGCACTGTGTGCCCCGGCCTTCCTCTCCAGTTTGCTTTTACCCCAATGGGTCCAGCACTCCATGCATTGAGCCTGTTGTCAACTTACCAAAGCTCTGTGCCTGTTCAGGTTGTGGCCTTTGTATCAGGCCAGGCTTTCTCAAGACTGGCAGGTCTTTTCTTCGAAGTCTGTTCTCCACCAGCCTAACCCTCATGGGAGGCTTTTGAAAGTCAAAAAAAGAAACGTGATGACTACTTCTGACTTTGTTGCTCACTAGACCTTTCCCAATGGTTATCTGGAAATTGTTTCTAAAGATAATATTTGCAAATATAATTATTGTTAGTTTTCAAAATAATTGTGTTCTACTCATTAGGAATGGAGCCCTGGTGGCTTAGTACAGTGGTTCTCAACCTGTGGGTCGTGACCCCTTTGGGGGTCAAATGACCCTTTCACAGAGGTCGCCCGATTCATAACAGTAGCAAAATGACAGTGATGAAGTAGCAAGGAAAATAATTTTATGGTTGGGGGAGTCACCACAACATAAAGAACTGTATTAAAGGGTTGAGGCATTAGGAAGGTTGAGAACCACTGGTTTAGTAGGTTATGCATTGACTGCTAACTACAAGGTCAGCAGTTCAAAACCACCAGCTGCTCATTGGGAGAAAGATGAGGCTTTCCATTCCCATACAGAGTTCAGTCTCAGAAACTCACAGGGACAGTTCTACTCTCTCCTATAGGGTTAGAATTGGCTCGATGTCTGTGAGGTTTTCAACATAAAACCACTCAGAATAATATTTTCTAAACCATTTCTTTCTCACTTCCAAAATGCAATTGGGACTGTTTATAATAAAGCAATTGAGCAATATGATGAATAACTTAGAGTCAGTAGTGGAAAATTTAAGGTTGTTGAAAAGTAGAACTACAAGACAATGGGATCTTTCCATGAACTTTTTGAAACTCCTTGGTAGATTGTGGGAGAAGGACAGGGCTTTCTACTACCATAAAGAGTTACAGTCACGAACCGATGACAAGGATCTACATGTGACCTCCTCCCTGGGGGGTGGATAACAGAAAAGTGGGTGAAGGGAGACGTCGGACAGTGTAAGATATGACAGAATAACAATTTATAAATTACCAAGGGTTCATGAGGGAGGGGGTAGTGGGGAGGGAGGGGGGAAATGAGGAGCTGATACCAAGGGCTCAAGTAGAAAGCAAATGTTTTGAGAATGATGATGGCAACAAATGTACAAATGTGCTTGACACAATGGATGGATGGATGGATTGTGATATGAAGTGTATGAGCCCCCAGTAAAATTATTAAGAAAAAAAAAAAGAAGAAAGTCAAGGATCTCATTTTCTTCACCTTTATGTCCCCAGCCCTCAGCATAGTGCCTGGCATAGAGTTGGTGCTTAATTATGGATGTGAATCATATTGATGACTGGGTGGTGAATGCAGTGACGAGTGTGAAGAAGCGCTGTGTTGGGCTGGTGTCTTGTGTTGCTGGGGATTTCCCTCCCCTCTTCTACCAGCAAAAGAATGGGCGAGTACAGGCAGGTGAAGGCAGAGAGACAAGTCACTGCAGGTTCTGGAGGCTTGAAAGGATCTTGCAGAGGGAGGGGCGAATTTCAGGAACTTCCTCTTGACTTAGCATGTAAACCAGGGCTGAGTAAGAGGCAGCTCAGGTGCCCCTGGCTGGCTGGCTTGCCTCCAGCTCAGAGAACTGGAGTGTACTGATGTCCAACATGCCAAGACTCGGCAGGGACTCGGGCTTCCCCTGGGGGACCGCTTCCTAGGTTTCTAACCCTGAGTCAGGTGTTGCGGTAAGGACACCTGTGTGTGGAAGTTGAACATATGACACAGCGACGAGAAAGAAACCCTCACAAAGTCTCAGCCACCCTGCACTCAGCGCTACGTGGGTAACCTGACTGGACAATGGAATGACCTTAATGTGGGCTCCTAGACACTTCTCTGCCAATGCCTGCCTGGCCCCCATCTGCTCCTTGCACCATGTGGCCGTGACGACAGTGGAGGGAATAGGGAGCACCAAGACAAGGCTGCACCCTGTGCAGGTAACTCAAGGAAAGTGGGCTGGGCAGCTGGGGTGCTGCAGTTCTGCAGAGCCAAGCAGTTCGTGCCAAGGTTGCGGATTTGCTTGGGTCTTGGGCTGGCTGTTTTGTGGTCTGAGCCAAGGAGACAGGTGGTATGGCCCCGCCCCCATGTCTCCTGGGTGCTGAACCTTCACATTCTTTCCTGGTGAATCTAACACCACCTGTGTGCCAATGGCACTGCCCTGTGTAACTTGAACTGCAGAAATTGTACTCATGTTTCCACCTGGGTGCTTGGCATCACTCGATGATTATCTGATTTCCAAACTTGACTGAGTCTTATTTTTTCCACAAACCTCTCTTCCCTGGTCTTCCTCCATCTGTGACAATGGCGGGACTGTCTCTAGGTAGCTCCCTAAAGATCAAAATCTGAATGTCGTCCATGACTCATTCTTGCATCCACCTCTCGTAGCCCATGAGCAAATACAGTCCTACAAAACCCACTACAAAGCCTTCTTTTTGTCTCAGCCCCAACCATCCTGTTCCCTCACCTCTCCCTGCCAGCGTGTCAGCGCTGACTCACAGCGACCCCCCTGAGGGTTTCTAAGACTGTTCATGGGAGTAGAAAGCTCAGACTTTCTCCCGCGGAGCTGGTGGTGGCTTTGAACTGCCGATCATAGGGATTGCAGCCCAACTCGTAACCACTACCCCACTGGGGCCCAACCTCTCTTGCCTAGACTACTCTAGTATCCCGTTACCCCTGCCTTCACTCTCACCCAACACAGCCCCCTCTCCACCTAGCAGCCAGCATGATCCCATCTGTTCCTTATAGGAGAGAATTGCCAAAAGCCATGGCTCCCAGTGTGGATTCTGCACCCCTGGCATCGTCATGAGCATGTACACGCTGCTCCGGAATCAGCCTGAGCCCACCATAGAGGAGATTGAGGATGCCTTCCAAGGTAGGGGTCTTCAGGCACAGCCTGGGAGATGCAATAGCACAACAGGGCAGGGCAGGGCAGGCAGGGCAGGGCAGAGAGTCAGGAATTGGCTATGAGTGCCGAGTGCTCATAGAGACTCGGGTCACTCTAACACAGTGGCTATGGGCTGCTTGAGTGGTAGCTATCTTTTCTTTGGGAGAACGCCTAGGGATGGTAGACCCTAGCTGGATCGCCTGCCTCTGTGTTCATTTTCCTGAGCTGCCTTCCTGTCCTCTCCCAGTGTCAGAGTGGAGTCAGCCCTGGGTGGCTGGCACAGGAGGAGAGAGAGGCCAGTGTTAGGACTCCACTTCCTTGGAGGACTCAGAAGGGCAGGATTCCGCTGGGCAGAGGCTGCCTCTGAGAAAGACAGCCATGATCCCGAGCCGTGGGAAGAGGCAGGTTTGCCCACTTGGCCTTTTGCGATAGGCTGCGAGAGCGCAGACCGTGTGTCTGTTTCTCTGCATTGAGTATGGAAATCTCCTTCTTTCACCATCGTGACAGCTCATTTATTCACTCCGTTGAACTAACTCTTATGTTCTTGAGGTACCAAGGGCACAGGGATGAAAGACGCACTGGCCTCCCCACGTTCCCCCTGCGCGGGATGGTTGAGAGGTGATAATACACGTTCAAGAGCACTTAGGGGGGACGCCTGGCTCAGTCTGGGCATTCTAGGGAGGCTTCCTGGAGGAAGCAGTGAGGGTGTATTGAATATGTGGATGGAACAGAAGGGGCAGCAGGAAGGGCGTGGGGGAAGGGGGGCCTTCCAGGCAAAGGAAACAAGGTGCAAAGACACAGTGGTAAAACATCCCTCAGGCCGAGGGATGAGACACGTCACAGCTCCCAACCTGCTCTGGGGCCTGCACTCACACTGTGGCATTTTTCTTGGCCCTCAGGAAACCTGTGCCGCTGCACAGGCTACAGACCCATCATACAGGGCTTCCGGACCTTTGCCAAGGTAAGCCCTGCTCCCCAAGCAGTGACACGTAGGCTTCTCAGCTTGGAGGGAGGCCAAGGGCCTGCTGGACTTCATGAAAGGAAACAGAGAAGATGACCAGTTAATGAGTCCCTGTGCTGGGGGCCTTGGCCCTTGGGAGTGGGCTCTGCCTTTGTTATTGGGCTAGGCATGGGTGGGGTCCTTGTTGATATCATGGCGGCATTCCTACCACCGAAGGCCTGTTAGAACAGTTTGTGGAAGAGGCACGGTGCCCAAGAGTTGACTTCCTCCGATGCCTTGGGGCTTGGTAGCTTTGCCTTAGATTCTGGAATGCCAAGTCCAGGTACAGGTGCTGAAATGACTTTTAGTGAGCACACCCCTGAGTCCGCACTTGCACCTCTTCCTGTGGCCCTCTGCCATGGGTACTCTATTGGGCTTCAGGCCCTTGTGAACTTCTGCGGAGTCCATGCGATTGGGTTTAGAAACTACAGGCAGGCTGTGCAGACACTGCGCTGGTAAAAACCCAGAAAGACCACCGCCATGTGTCAAGGAACACAAAGAGCTGGACTCTCCTCTCTTGGCAGAGCCTCCTAAGCGTTTCCCCAGTTTTCCCACTGAGTCAAGTCACTCCTGACTCCCATCAAATAATCTCATTTCCACTTGACTCTGGATTGAGGGCAGAATTACAAATGTTACCATTTCTACTGACCCCTAGGATTGACGCCGCAGATGAAGGACCAGGCAACCTGGTTCCGGAAAGGTTCCAGTCAGGAAAAACCCTGGGGACCCGTTCAACTCTGTGGCAATGGGCATGGGGGTGGGGGGTGTCACCATCAGTCAGAATTGACTCGGCTGCATGGGTTTGGGTCTTCCGGGGTGTGTGCATGTATGTGCATGTTGGTTTGGGTTAGGATGGGCACATCTCAGCCAAGGAGGGCTGCAGCTGGCACAGCAGCACGCTCTGGGGAGGCAGTGACTGACAAAGGACCAGCAGGCACACATATAAAGGGCAACACAAAGGATAAAAA